GGAGCTCCAAGAGGCGTCCTCGGAGGGCCTCCAGCTGGACCAACCCTGGCACCCTCACGTCGTGGAGGGTCTAGCCCGAGTCCGGCACGACAAGATGTAGGCCCAGCAGCAGGCAGTGGGACCTGCGGACCGACGACGTCTTCGACGGGCGCGCGTGCAGGGGGCGTTGGTTGAATGCTACACTGCAAATCGTTTTCGTCCGTCGAGCTTGCTGATTAGCCTGCTCCGCGAGCGCCTGGCGAAGTGGTTTGATGTAGAGAGGGGGGATCTGTGCTGACTCGAGTGGGACCGTGTTCAGGCCGACCACGCGGATGAGGAGTCCCGACGCCCGCTGTCAAGTTTGTTGGTTGGGCCCCGATTGGCTCAAACTTTATTTCTGTCGTGAAGCCTTCCTCGGGCTTCGGGAGTATGCTGCTCTCCCATCCCACTCCGGCGGTCGGCGGTGATGACGAGGCGAACCTTCCATCCTGACGATCTGCCGCCTCCTCCTCCTTCTCCTCCTCCTTACGAACCACGGGCGCCAGAGTTGGCCCCCCTCCCCCTTCACCGAGGGGACCCGTGGGTGCACAAGGGGGCTTCTCCTCCTCCTCCTCCTCCTCCTCCTCCTCCTGCTCCTCCTCCTCCTCCTCCTTCACCCGAGGGGACCCGTGGGTGCTCCTCCTCCTCCTCCTCCTCCTCCTCCTCCTTTTCCTCCTCCTCCTCCTCCTCCTCCTCCTCCTCCTCCTCCTCCTCCCCCTCCCCCTCCCCCTCCGCCTCCTCCTCTTCCCCCCCCTGGCTGCGGGGGGTGGTCGGGTCGGTCCCTCGGACCGCCGCCCGGGGTGCCAGCGCAGCGCAGGCGCGCCTCCCGAGCCCGTGGAGTTCAAAGCTCACGTCGGGCCTGTCCCTCTACAGGAGTTTTTTTTTATAAAAAAAAGAAATTAGTCTGGGGAGGATTTGCTTTACCGCTTTAAAAAATCGAAATTTGTCTGGGGAGGATTTGTTCTTCCGCTTTTGCGTATTTGTTAGGGCATGTGTTGATGATGGCTTCTTTTTCGTGCAAGATCCCCCTTGTAGGGGGACAAGCCCCTCTCAACCGTAGAGTTCTAAGCGACATACTCGCCGTCGGCGCCGGGGAAGCCCAGAGGCCTCCCAGGGCACGAGCCGCCCCTCAGAACAAACACCCCCTCCGATCCCTGGCAGCCAGCACTTAACTGGACCTCCGTCCGGGGGGGGCAGCTGGCCGTGCGCGTCGTGCTGGCGCATGATTCCCGGGAGTCGGGTCGAAGAGGCGGCCGTGTCTCCGTGGCCTCCCCTTCCGGCCCTCAGGGTTGGCGGTGAAGCAGGTCTCAGCAGCTCTGGAGCAGGTCTCGTCCTCGTCCTTGTCCTCGTCGTCGTCCTCCTCCTCCTCCTCCTCCTCCTCCTCCTCCTCCTCCTCCTCCTCCTCCTCCCCCTCCCCCGCCTGGACCACTCGCTTGTGCTCTCTTGGGCGAGCTGCGCTGGCCTGCCCCTGCAGACGCTGCCCCTCCTGCCCCACGCGGGCCTGCAGGTCCACAGCTCACACGAGCTGTACCAGAGGCATGGTCAATGCTTGTGCTTGCAACGTTTGCGGCTCCACGGCCACCCAGAGAGTCAAGGGGCCAGCCCTGCCATGCAGTCGCACACCCACAAAGCAGGGTCGCGAGAACCTTTCACGAATCAACCAGGGCCAGCATCCGAGCCATGCGGGCATGTCCGAGGCAGCCACGCATGCTGTCGCTGTAAGCTTGATGCAAGCTGGCGTTGGGGTGTCTGGCCTGGGCTCCACGGGGGCCCTCCTGCTGGTTCTGAGGCCCCACTGCAAGGCACTGCCAGGCACTGCGTCACCACTTTCCTGAGATCCTTCTTCCTTTTAGAACTCCATGTCGCACGGCCAGTCGAAACGGCGGGCCGGGCGTTTCGCTTGAGACTTTCTCACCACGTGTGATCCTGAAGCTTAAATTCGCACCAGCTTCACGGATGGAGCACGGGCCGTTTTCAAAATGTGGTTCCTCTCGCCCTAGCGCCGCGCACATTCTCCTTAACAATTTGCAGGAGAGTTTCACGGATGGAAAGCGTGCGGTTTTCTAAATGTGTCTCTTGCTTTAGCGCCGTGCACAGACGTGTTCAAACAATTGCATGGTCTTCACCGAAGGACTGTTTCTTCGATATAAGAATGGATCTAGCCTTACATAGCGACGCGCACATTCGCTTTTGACGGAGTGGCTCCTTCCGTCTCAAGAGCTTGCAACAGTTTCAAACAATTTCTCTTGGTTGCCCTCCCCAAAATTGTGTTTTGGCACGATGTCTAAATGTTGTGGCGCAACAGTCTCGTTGATTCGCGGTGTTGAAATCCCAAGAACGGCGTTTTGGCACGATTCAGGACCGTCAGGGCGCAACAACTATGATGGCTAGCGGCTTTGAAATCCTAGGTAAGGTTTCCGGCACGGTTCCGGGTTTTCCAATGGTTGTCATCCAACGTGGCACTTTATTAGTTCATATGAATTGTTGTGCAGGGCCCGTTGTGATAGACTGGCCGAGGGAAGTCGGAGCAGAGACATCCTCACAATAATTTGATGGTCCAGGCCGTTTCGCTTGAGACATCCTCACAACTCTCGTTTCTGAGTTGGCCGGGATTGGCCGTTTCGCCTGAGACATCCTCGAAAAGTTGCGCTCCGGGACTCCGCGCGAGAGGTGGTCCTGGCCGTTTCGCTTGAGACATCCTCGAAACTCTGAGCCCCGAGGTGCCGTGCGAGAGGTGGTCCGGGCCGTTTCGCCTGAGACATCCTCGAAACTCTAACCTCGGAGATGACGCGCGAGAGGTGGTCCGGCCCGTTTCGCCTGAGACATCCTCGAACTTCCGAGTTCTGAGATGCCTTGCGCGAGGTGGTCTGGCCCGTCTCGCCTGAGACATCCTCGCAACTCTGAGCTCTGAAATGCCGTGCGCAAGGTGGTCCGGCCTGTTTCGCACAAGACATTCTCGCAACTCTGAGCTCCCAGATGCCGCGCAAGAGGTGGTCCAGCCTGGGGGCCCAGAAGACCACATGTTACATATCCTCCCTGGGACCCTGGGAGCCCGCCTGAGACATCCTCGAACTTCTGAGCTCTGAGACCTGCGCGAGGTGGTCCGGCTCGTTTCGCACAAGACATTCTCGCAACTCTGAGCTCTGAGATGCCGTGCGCAAGGTGGTCCGGCCTGTTCCGCACAAGACATTCTCGCAACTCTGAGCTCCCAGATGCCGCGCAAGAGGTGGTCCAGCCTGGGGGCCCAGAAGACCACATGTTACATATCCCCCCTGGGACCCTGGGAGCCCCAGGAGGCCCCAGAGAGCTTCAGGAGGCCGCAGGACGCCCAGGACAGGCCCCAGGGGTCCGCAGGAGATTCCCAGGAGGCTCCCAGGAGGCCCCAGGAGGCTCCCTATCAGAACGTGTCAAGTTAATACACATCCGGTGTCGATTCGTTGATTTTTCCTGCTCTTGTGGCCCCCCTTTTATTTTGAGGGGCCCAAGCGGCCACAGGTTAGATATCCCCCCCTGGGAGCCCCAAGAGGCTTCAGGAAACCCCAGGTGGAGTTCAGGAGGCCACAGGAGGCCCAGGAGGAAGCCCCAGGAGGTCCCCAGGAGGCCCCAGGAGGCACCAGGAGGCCCCCGCAACTCGGAGCTCTGAGACGCCGCGCTCGAGGTGGTCCGGCCCGTTTCGCCTGAGACTTCCTCGCAGCACGTTTCGCCCGAGACACCGGCCCGTCTCGCCTGAGACATCCTTGCAACTCTGAGCTCTGAGATGCCGTGCGCAAGTTGGTCCGGCCCGTTTCGCACAAGACATTCTCGCAACTCTGAGCTCCCAGATGCCGCGCAAGAGGTGGTCCAGCCTGGGGGCCCAGAAGACCACATGTTACATATCCCCCCTGGGAGCCCCAGGAGGCCCCAGAGAGCTTCAGGAGGCCGCAGGACGCCCAGGACAGGCCCCAGGGGTCCGCAGGAGATTCCCAGGAGGCTCCCAGGAGGCCCCAGGAGGCCCCCTATCAGAACGTGTCAATTTAATATACATCCGGTGTCGATTCGTTGATTTTTCCTGCTCTTGTGGCTCCCCCATTTGGGGGCGCCCCGACGGCCACATGTTAGATATCCCCCCCTGGGAGCCCCAAGAGGCTTCAGGAAGCCCCAGGTGGGGTCCAGGAGGCCACAGGAGGCCCAGGGGGAAGCCCCAGGAGGTCCCCAGGAGGCCCCAGGAGGCTCCTGGAGGCCCCCGCAACTCGGAGCTCTGAGACGCCGCGCTCGAGGTGGTCCGGCCCGTTTCGCCTGAGACTTCCTCGCAGCACGTTTCGCCCGAGACATCGTCGCAACTCTGGGGTCTGAGATGCCGCGCGCGAGGTGGTCCAGCCCGTTACGCTGGAGACATCCTCGCAACTCCGGGATCCGAGATGCCGTTCGGGATGAAGAGGAGGTGGAGGAGGAGGCATGTTTTAAAATGCCATGCCAGCCCGCACTGGACGGGCACGCAATCGACCTTGGAAACCGCAGTGGGTCTAAAAACTTTGTTTGGGGATACTGCACTCCGACTATAATTAGGTCATATGAATTGTTGTACAGGGCCCGTGCAGAGGGAACTTGGAGGGAGGATCTCTTGACATATTGTTGCTGAGTCTTGATTCTACATTGGCCCTTATTCCTCCTCCTTCTCTTTATCCTGCTTCTCCTCCTCCTCAATCCTCAGTCCTCCCTCCTCGTCTGGTCCCGGCCCTTGTGTTTTGTTTCCCCCGAGCTTTTGGGTCCGCACGCGACGCGTTTTTTTCTCTCGCGTGCCTTGCCTCGCCCAGGCCACCCGTGCCTGCTCCCCGTCTGAGCCGCGCCGGCGCTCTCCATACGGCTGAGATTTTCAGTGATGCCTGCGCCAGGCATCATAACTGTTTCCTTGGCGTGCACCGCCCTCCAAAGCATGGCTCGTGCCAATCCTCCTCGACCCTTGGCGTACTCCTCTTCCGCTCCTGCCCCGCCGCACCCGCGAGGCGACGCTCGAGAACGACGCCGAGACCCGGCGGCTCGAGTCCGGGATGCTCATCTCCGCCCAGGCAGTGGAATGGTGGCCCCGGAGTCCGAAACGTGCAACAACGCTTTACAAGCATGATCTCCAACACGCCGAATTGTAATCGTTATTTGTGCATGTTTTGCCGATTGGCGTGGGCCCTCGCACCCACCTCCTCTCCCCCCTATGGAGTAGATCTTGGCTGTTCTTGGCGCCTGTTTCGAGCAGGTGGAGCCTCCCCCAAAGGACGCACTAGTGCAAACAGTCGCACTAGGCAGAGATCCGGAGCCAGACCCCCCCCCTTCCGCCCAATGTCGACACGCCGAATAAGAAAACGCTCACGTTGAAAACGGCAAAACCGCGGCCTGAACATGTTGCTTCATGCCGAGGAAATGTTACCCAGGGCCGTTTTTTTCCCCCTGAGCTCGCGCCGCGGACATGTTACTCGATGCCGGCTTTTCCTTCGGGCTCCGCCTTCGTGAGCGAGGGGGGGGGAAAGCCCTGGGCATATCTACGAAGAACCAAGGCTATACACCAACAGCGATCCTGGCCAGGATCACCCTGGGCCCAGAATCGGTGTATATGCCTTCTTGCCCAAGGCGGGAGGGCGTATTCACCGATCCTGGGCCCAGGGTGATCCTGGCCAGGATCGGTGTTGGTGTATGTTTGGGGCCCTCCTAAAGGTGGTCCCTTGCCTTCTACTACACGGCGACTGGCGACAACGTCTTCACGCCCGCGGCCCTTGCAGAGATCCAAGGCTCGCGGGGGGAAGCGGGGTGCCGAGGCCGGCTCTTCTCCGCACGCCTTTTTTGTTGGAGAGGGGGAGTCCGAAGTAGCCTAGAGGGCTCAGAACAGTGGACATCAATCTACTATACAGCCAGCCCGTATCACAAGGGTGCGCGATGAGGGTACAAAATCCTCGGACGCCCATTTCATTTCGACTTCACGCTCGCGGCCCTTGCAGAGATCAGAGGCTCGCGGGGGAACGCGGGGGAGAAGCCAGCGGCCACGGGGGTGGGCACCCAGTCGTGGGGGCTTCGGCAGCGTGTTGGGGCAAGCGGCAGGAGAGCGTGGCCTCCTCCTCCTCCTCCTGTTCCCCCTCCTCCTCCTCCTCCATCCTCCTCCTCCTCCTCCTCCTCCTCCTCCTCCTGCTCAGAAAAATGGCGCGTACGCCTCCATTGATCTGGGCTGTGGCCTACCGAGCACCCATCTCGGTGGCGCCGAGAGGAGGCAGCAGGAGGGAAAGAGCATGAGCAGGACGTCCAGGAGGGGAACGGGCTGCAATGCGGGGGTCGGCTCTCGCGTGAAGGACTGTTTACTTTGCATCTTCGGGGGACCTTTCCTGTCCTGTAAATACAATTTTTTTCGTGTATTCCGACGTGGGTTCGAAGCGGATTTCGACGTGGATTCGGCCCGACACGGATTCGACGCGTTCGACACGGATTCGACACGGATTCGATACGGACTCGACGTGGATCGCGGCGCGACTGTACAGACAAGGTGGCCCGAAGATGCAGCACAAGGTCGAGAACTCTTGGGGTCCATGTTGTAAAGAGAATACGACGTCGGGTGGTCCGGTCTTGCTCGTCATTTTTGCGCCCTCCATCCTCCTCGAGTTGCGTGGCGACGTTGTTCGATGATATAGCCCCCCCGACCAGGTAGTGTCCCCACTCTCCTGGGGTCGCGCCCCCGTTTCGTCTGTCTCTGTGGGGTCCAGCGCAGGGGAGGAGAGGGGGAGGGGAAGCGGGATGGAAAAGGGGGAATATGTAACGAGAAGGTGGAGGGGCTCGAGGGGGCAGGATGGAGAAAAGGGTGGGGGAGGAAGAGAGGAAGAGAAGGACAAGGAAGAGGAGGAGGAGGAGGAGGAGGATAAGTAGGAAGAGGAGGATGAGAGGGGGGAGCGGGGAGTGGGGAGCACGAGCGAGGAGGAGGAGGGAGCATGTTCCGCAAATGGCTATCTCTGCAATCGTAATGGCGCCAGCCCGTCCTGCTGCCCCCGCCCCCCGACGCAGGCTTCGAGCAGGCCGTGCAGCAGTTCCCGGGATACAGCGACTACTGCTTCAAGGGGGGCGGCGTGGACTGCAGGTCCTCCTCCTCCTCCTCCTCCTCCTCCCGCCTCCTCCTCCCTCCTCCTCCTCCTCGTCCTCCTCCTCCTCCTCCTCCTCCTCCTCCTCCTCCCTCCTCCTCTTCCTCCTCCTCCTCTTCCTCCTCCTCCCTCCTCCTCCTCCTCCTCCTCCTCCTCCTCCTCCTCCTCCTCCTCCTCCTCCTCCTCCTCCTCCTCCTCCTCTCGGCAGTAGCCTCTGGAGCTCGCGTGCGCCGCGCGAGGGTTTTGTTCGCCAGGACAGGGCTGGCAGACTCGGGGGGGCGCGGCCCGAGGAGGCCCAGCCAGAGCCCCGCCAGTCCTCTCGGCAGCAGCCCTTGGAGCTTGCGTGCCCCGCCCAAGGGATCTCTCTCCTCCTCGCCCTCCGCCCGCAGCCTCTGTCGGCTCCTCCTCCTCCTCCTCCTCCTCCTCCTGCCCCTCCTCCTCCCTCCTGCCCTCCTCCCTCCTCCTCCTCCTCCTCCTCCTCTCCTCCTCCTCCTGTTCCTCCTGTTCCTCCTCCTCCCCTCTCCTCCCTCCTCCTCCTCCTCCTCCTCCTCCTCTTCCTCCTCCTCCTCCTCCTCCTCCTCACCTCCTCCTCCTCCTCCTCCTCCTCCCCCTCCTCCTCACCTCCTCATTCCGTCGTCGCAAGTTTAGTTGTGTTCACTTCACTGCTTTCACGAGGCGGGTTCCCTCCAGTCTTACCGGGCTTGCCGCCACAATCAGGGACTTGCGGCCGCCCGCCCCAGGTTTTCCTGCTTCTTACTCTGGTCTTGTAGGCGTCCGCGCATATCTGCTCGTCGAGCCGCGCTCCGAGTCTTCGATATCCACTGGCACCACACAATGGGCCATACTTTCTCCAGGAGTGCGGCGACAAGTCGTCCACTTCAAAATGTCCGTGAACCCATCCAGCGGCGACGAGCGCTCCACCTCCCGCAGCCAGCCTTCCATTCGTGCACGTTGCCGCCTACGCGTGCAAGACCACCGTGACGCCCCGCAAGGCCGTCAGCGCACCGCTGCCCGAGACACGCTTGTCGCCAGAGGCAGCTCAGGCTTCGGCAGTCAAGGTCCCGCTGGCAGCCATCATAACGGAGGCCGCACCCTTGGTCGCTCCCCAGCACGCCCCGCTCGTTCTTCCGCTCGCCCAGCACTTGCAGGAGCACCAGCATCAGCCATGGACCCTCCTCCTCCTCCTCCTCCTCCTCCTCCTCCTCCTCCGCCTCCTCCTCCTCCTCCTCCTCCTCCTCCTCTTCCTCCAGCCACGATCACCTTGCAGCCGCGCTTCCACCTCATGCAGCCGCCGCTCCTGGTTCCGACCCTCTCGCCTGTGCTGCCGATCCGCGGAGATGCGCCCGCTCTGACCAGCATCTCGCCGACGACTTCGACAACCTCGCCGCCGTCCCGTCTCCTGAGCGGCAGCGACCCCGCAGGGCTTGCCTCATCAGCCGAAGACGCTCCTGAAGCCAGCGGCCGCCCTACGCCTCTGGACGCTGCCAAACCTGCCGCTCATGTTCCACTTTCCAGGTCTTCCCGCCGAACTCGACGCCGCCCATCATAACCTCATGCAGCGACAAGCTGTGCACGCAACCAGTACATATCCAACTCAAGCAGAGCAGCTCTTCACCCGAATCTCGAGAAAGATTTCGTGCGCTTCTTCGGCACCAAGTGCTCCAAACTGATCGCCGAGATGCCAGTCTTCATTACATCATCGCCTGTATCCGGCGCGAACAAGACCGCCAATGTGCTGATCAATTGCGGGCGTGGCAGCATATCGACCAGATGCGTGACACCATTGCGCTCGCAGGGGTCCAGGCACCGATCGCGGACCTCACCAGCCTGTGCGAATTGGACAGGGCACCACAGGGCGCGCTTTTCAACGCTGGCAGCCAGCGCCTCATCTTCCCAGACCTGCCCCTCAACGACCTGCAGAAGTGGATCGTCTCCGCCGACCTGCAGTTTCGACCGCGTGGAGCTGCTCGGCGACGCGCCTTCCAGGCGCTTCATCCTTCATATCAGAGGTGATCGAGCAGTTGCCGTGCAACGTGCTCTCGCCCTCGCTCGCGCCCTACGTGGTGCTTCTGGCAAGTGGAAGCGGTTTGTCTCCGCCGGCACCATAGGCGCGCGCACTGGCATCTACAACGATCCCGACGAGTCCGCCAAACAGGTCCGCGCAGAGGTCCCGTGCAACCGTGCAATAAGATCCAGCAGCCCCCGCAGCCACGCTACTCCAACATGCAGTCGCGCGCTACTCGCGCGAAGGGTGAGATTCACTGCCGCGCCATGTCCGTCGTCCGCCTCGATATCCGCGGCCAGGCCGACCCGGCCATGCCCGCATGGAACGACAACGAGTTCGAGCTCGACCTTTTCCAGTGCATCGACCGCGGCGCCGTCCACGCGTCTTTTCATACCCTGTTCGCAGACGCAGATTGCATCGTGGCGTTCCCAGCCACCCCGTGGGCCCGTTGATGATCGCCGAGGCGACTGAGCAGGCGACGTTCGCCGCGTGGAGCGCACGGGCCCTCAGGCGCCACAAGCGCAACAGGCGTCGTAAACATCAAGGCCAACCCTTTCAAAGTTCACGAAGCGCCAGTGCGTCATCATGCTCCAGGAGGTCCACGGATCCGAGGCCCCACTCCTCACCTGGATGGATACGCAGCCGTGCCCGCACAAGCTTTGCCTCTCCGGGCTCAAGAATGATGGTGGCGACGCGCCGCATGCCGCCGGAGGCGTGGCTACGCTCGCCCCGTGGCTCACGCCGATGCACCTGCCGCGCCAACTACCGCACCTGCCGCGCCAACTACCGACCTGGTGCCCAGCTCGAGAAGCACCTGCCGCGCCAACTACCGACTTGTTCCAGGGAGGTGGTCGCTGTCCTCGTCCAGCTCGTCGCCATCACCCGCGCAGTCTCCCGCAACGCTGTTGCAATCTTGAACGTCCACGACCGCGACGTCAAAGCCGCGTCGACCTCTCCCGCGCCATGCACTGCGCGCCGGGCAGCTACCGATCGAATCCGGCGTCGCGCAGGGATACCCAGCGAGTGGAACTGCGCGGGCCATCGCGATGGGCCCGCTCATCCGCCACATCGCACCCTTCGTCGAGAACGCCGAGAATCACCCCGAGCCACGGGAAGGGAAACGTCGGCGGCTGCGCTGGGGACCGGGCTCCTGGCGTACTCGTTTCGACGCGCTGCGCTGTGCGTCTGAGTCCTTCGCGGCCGCTGAGGAAGTGGCGCCCCCTGTCTCTCGAGTCGCGCAATTGCGTGGTCGTCCCGCTCCTCCTCCTCCTCCTCCTCCTCCTCCTCCTCCTCCTCCTCCTGCCCCTCCTCCTCCTCCTCCTCCTCCTCCTCCTCCTGCCCCTCCTCCGTGGTTCTCCCGCTCTAGGCCGACGCGACCGCAGCCGCCGCGGCCCGCGCCAGAAGCATCCTGGCCGATGTTCAGCCCCTCGCGGGGAGGCTTCCCGCTTGCGGGGCGAGCCAAGTACTCCGGGGCCCTCCTCGGACCTTCCGCCCAACCCCCCGCGCTCATCAATGGCTCCCCCCTGGGGAAACATTGCGGCGCTGGGGGAAATCTGCTGCGCCTCGCGCAGGGCGGCGGCGACGCCGCAGTGCGCCGATCAACGCCTCCGTTCTGTCGACGCTTAGCTATGTCGCCCAATTTTACCAAGTTGACCGGCTTCCTCCTTGCTGGTCTGCTCTTGCCGTGTTTCAAAGTGCTCTGGTACTGCGGGAGCTGCAGGTACTCCAGCACTCAAGCCGCGGTCGGTGTACACGGGTTATGCCTTTCGTGTGTCGTCGTCCGTTTGTCGTAGCCATTGCCATGTTTTTTGATGCGCCGCGTCGATTCCCTCAACCCATTCTGGTTTTGGGCTTGGGTCGTCTGGTGTGCGCTGCCTCCTTGCGACGTAATTGGCGAGCTCGTTCCGCGGGTGACCGTTGCGTGCGTAACTGTGGTCAGTATGGAGTGGGGTTGTTGTGGGTGCTAGCTGGCGTAGCTGGTTAGTAAGAGCGACGGGGTCGTGGTTGCTGTGCGGTGTGTAGCTGCCCTCGGCCAGTCCAATGGCGGCTCTTGGGTCTGTGTGGACCGTCGGCGGGCTGTTGTAAGCTGGTGATTAACCTCCTCCTCCTCCTCCTGCCCCTCCTCCTCCTCCTTCTCCTCCTCCTCCTTCTTTGATGTAGCCGAGGTAGCCTGGTCTACGTCGGTCGAGGTGGCCTCCGCAGCATTGATTGCCATGGCCCCCACATATGCGAAGCCATCCTCGTCCCCGATGGTGATTACTACCGCCCGAGCGTCTTGGGTAGAGTCGTTGCGATGGGCGCCGTCGGTGTGTCCTGGTGGGGGCGATTTCCAGTGCCATGACGGCTGCTGGATGGAACCTCGTGACATCGTTCAAGTCGGTTAAAAGGTGGGTTAATGAGGTGTGTCTGAGTACGTCGGCGATCGCTTCGATCACTTTGCAGGTGGATCGGACCGCTTCTCTCTCTCTGGACGCTTCTCGGTGAGGTCACCCGGTGCGTGTGTGCGTGTGTGTAGTTCTCGCACGGAGCAGTGCTCGCCATCTTTCGACCACAGTAGCTGGTGGACGTGCGGTTTGTCACCTCCGTAGGTGGTCCTTCAGTTTGGCATGCCGTATGTTGCCTCCGCCGCTGCGGTGGCCTTTTGCCATTTCCGTCGGTGGGTGGTCTTGCGGTCGTCGAGGTTGGAGTAGGGACCCCACGGCCTTCTTCAACTCTCGTTCGATCGGTCGCAGTCGTGTCCCATCCGTCGCTCTTGCTGGAATTGCTTCGCTCTGTGGCGCCGTCAAACTTGTTATTGGCAATGGTTGTGGCCGTCATGTGTTCGCTACGTCGTCCGTCTTTCATCGCCCTGAATGAGGGGGCTGTCTGGCTTTGCACGCCACCTAAACGGCGCCATGGCAGGTCCCAGTGGTAGGTCAGGGCCTCGTAGTCTGCACATCTGAATTTTGCTTTCAGTCTGTGTGAGGTCGGGGTCGTCCTTTTGCGGTGGGTCAT